GCTTATTTTATTTTGTTTTTTTACTCACCATTTAGGAAGTTCTGATCTATAGCCATTGCCTTTGAACCAGTTGGGGCAGGACAGACAGCATGGCAGGGACATATGGTCAAGGAAATCTATTTCCGCATGGACAATATGAAGAGAGAAGAAGGGTTGGGACCCACAATCCACTTCAAAGGAATGTCCTAATGACCTGCTGATATCTCACAAGGCCTTGCCTCTTAGAGGGTCTGCCATCTCTGCTGTAGTTTGCAAACATATGACACAATTTCTGTTCTCTCATATTTGTGAAAGCTTATTTTATCACCCAGAGTATGATCTGTTGGAAATTCCATGGGAATAGAGTGTTCTGCTGACAGTGGTTGGGGTGATGGGGTGTCTCATAAACAGCAATAAGTCATATTGGTCACTAGTAATGTTCAAGCCATTTACATACAAACTTGATTTCCTGCCTGCTTGCTCTACCCATTACTGAGAAAAGTGTTCCCATATTTTTAACCTTTAAAGTGGAAGTTCAGAGGCATCATATAAATGGGTCCTGTTTTCTAATACTCTAACAAACTATGTTTTAAAATATTCTGACTATTCATTTAATGAAACTATTGCTACTGTTAAAATCATCTTCCTGTAGCTATTTTTAATCTTTCTAGGTTTTTCTACCTAGAAAGATTTTGCCTTGATTGAGCAATTTTGTGATTCCATTTTACCATTTCTATTGAATTATTATTAATCATTGTTATTATCATTTTATTTAGTCAGAATCTCACTTTTCAGCTCTGGCTGACATAGAGCTCAATCTGTAGAATAGGCTGGCAACAAGCTCATAGATGTCTGCCTCTCAGGTGCTAGGAATAAAGGCCCAGTATGTTGACTTACTATTTTTATCTCTTAAAAATTTTTTATACATCATTAGTATAGGAGCTAAACATTTTGATTAGTAGGTAAATTATTAAATAATACTGTGCACACAATCTAAGGCTTCGAAACATCAAAGGCCCACTTGCCTGTTGCTATGTATGCTACATTTATTTCCATGAAATGTATCTCTCATTATACATCTAACCTATTCATATATGATCTGTTATCTTCTGCCTATGAATTAAACAGGAGATCAGAGAAGCTAGAGGCAGCTTTTGCAAGCAACAAACCCATGTAACCAGGTGAAGAGCACAGCGTTAGGCAAGTCATGGTGGGATAAAAGCCTTTCCTTTGACATAAGCCACAGTGGGCAGCAATGGGAAGAAGCATCAGTGTCTCGTGTTAGAATCAGGCCTTCATGGTCATTTACGACTAATGAATGGAGCTGGAGAGATGGCTGCTTGGTTAAGAGTGCTTTCTGCTCTTCCTGAGGAAACTCCAGATCAGCTCACAACATCCTGCAAGTCCAGCTCCAGGTGATCTGGTGCCTTCCTCTGGCTTCCTCTGTCACCTTTAGTCACATACACATACGCTCACAGATGTACATTGTGGTGGTTTGAAAGAAAATGTCCCCCAAAGGAGTGACACTTTTAGGAGGCATGGCCTTGTTGGAGTAGGTGTGGCCTTGCTGGAGGAAATGTGACGCCATGGAGCTGGGCTTTGAAGTCTCATATGTGTTCAAGCCATACTCCACGAGGCCGACCACTTCCTCTTGCCTTTGGGTCAAGATGTAGACTTCTCAGCTACCTCTTCAACACCATGTCTACCTCTATGCCGCCATGTCTACCTGTATGCCTCCACGTCCCTCCATGGTGATAATGGACTGAACCTCCAAACTGTAAGCCAGCCCAACTAAATGCTTTCCTTTGTAAGAGTTGCCATGATCACAGCAATAGAAACCCCAATTAAGGCACATATACACGTAAATTATTAAACCTTTTTATGAGAGCTCTCTCCACCTTTCCCATCACCTAGAGCATGGTCAGCTGGTGGCAGCTTGCTTATCTTGTCACATGCAAATGGCAACTGTTGTCATCCCACTCTCCTGTCTTTATTTTCCTCTTCTCTCTCATTCTCATCCCTTCTCAACTCCACGTTCTCACCATTTCATCTCCTTTACCCTGCTCCTTGCCTTCTTGCCCTAACTCATCTCTTTTAATTGACTTTATTAAAAGTCAGTTTTTACAAATATTCTTTTTAAGCCTATATTTTGTTTTTCTTTTTTAATGTGTATGGATGGTATTGTCTACATGTATGTCTGTGTGCCACGTGCATGCAGTGCTCTCAGAGGCCAGAAGAGGGCACTGTGACTAGAGTTCCAGATGGTTGTGAGCAGCCATAAGGGTGCTGGGAATTGAATCCAGATTTTTCTGAAAGAGCAGCCAGTGCTTTTAACTGCAGAGCCATCTCTCCAGCTGCAACAGTTTGGATTTACAGAAAATGTGAGGAGAAAGTAGAAAGGCACTATGACCTCCTCACCTTGGCCTCCAGTTTCTCCTGTCAGCAACGTTGCATTAGTGTAGCATTGTTGCTGTCAATAAAATTGTATTCATGTGTTTTATTAACTAAAGTCTACAACTTTACACCAGGGGTCACTCGAGGTGTTTTACATTCTGTGGGCCCTGATCAGCATGGATATAGGCTTCCTCTGGGGCTCTGTGCATCTGAATAACTCATTTCCTTTTAGTTCTATTATCTAGATGTGTCCCTTTATCCAGCATCCATCCACCTACTAGAATGTATCTGTGTGGCTTCTGCATTTGTACATTGTGAACAAAACTGACAGGCATTCCTGTTTGGATTCTTGTGTAGGCACAGTAATAGGTTTTTAAACAAGGAATGAGAAAGAAGGACTCTCTAGAATAACAAGTCATGAAGAAAACATTTGTTGGGGCTTGGGAGATAAGTATTAGCTCTCAGTGGGTAAGAGCAGTTGCTGTGCAAACGTGGGGACCTGAGTTCAAATCCTCAGCACCTAAATAAAAATCTGGTGAGACTGCTTGTGCCTGTAATGCCAGCACCAGGCAGCAGAGACTGGCAGATCCTGGAGCTCCTGGCAGCCAGGCTAACAGAGAACAATTCAGTAAAAGACCCTGTCTCAAGGGCAAAGGGTGGAACAGTATAGAAGATGCCTTCAGTCAGCTTTCTTCTGGCCTCCCTGTGTTCACTCAGAAGCACACAAATGACCATGTGTGCACTTACACACACACACACACACTCACACACACCAAAACCAAACAGACCAAAAAAAAAAAGCCCAAAACATTGTTCAACATTTTCAGACTAGGCAAAAAGCAACACAGCAAACTCAAGAGCTAACCAGCAGAGGGCAGTGTTTGCAAGACATGGACAACAGTAACAAAGTAGTTTCCAATTCTTTAATTCCTTCACTATACTGCTCATTTTTTTAAATTTTCTCTCTCTCTCTCCCCCTTTCTCCCTACCTGCCTCTGTGCATCTCTCTCTCTCTCTCTGTCCCTCTCTCTCTCTCTCTCTCTCTCTCTCTCTCTCTGTGTGTGTGTGTGTGTATGTCTGAAATGTGTGCAGGTACAGGACACTAGCAGTAGGTATTGGAGTTTCTGGGACTGCCCCCGGGTCCTATATACTTGCTGAAGGTCAGCAAGTATTCTTGACCACTACAGCATCTCTTAAGTCCTATTTTTTCTTAATTATTTCACAGGCATGTTCTCTTGGGATTTGTCTAGAAATCTCTTATATTAAACTTGCCACAACAGCCACAACAGCGTGGTTGGGGGAAGAGCTGCTTCCGTGTCATAGAGTTACAGTTTTGAGCTCCAGGCTCTCATAGAAGTAATTTGTGCTGATTTTCCTCATTGGATGCAGGGGCCTGGTTTCTGTTGCACATTGCAGACAGCCCCTTCGCAGCAGAATATATACCTTTGCTTTGAAGGCCGGCACCAGAATTCTACAGTGAACATTGACCAAGTAAGAGTTCGAAACAGCCACAGGCTCTGACTGCAAGGAAGAAAGGGAGCTGGGTGGGCACGACCTGGGGTAGATAATATTTACACCTATAAAACACAGGACTTTCAGGAACCAATTGGAAAATACCTGTAATTTAATAGGGGGAGGAACCCAGCTCTGAACTTGAACATGCTCTAGGAAAGGCATCCATTCATCTGCCCCAAATAGATGTCATTTCCTGTGTGCCCAGAGAGCAGCGAAAGCCTGGACTAGAGACAGCATCATCGTGTTTCCTTTAGGTTGCCTTTTAACTGATGTACAGACAGCTGTGGCTCAAGGTCCATGGACTTCTCTCTGTGGCTCAGACACATAAGGATTAGCCTGCAGGTGTTGGAAGGCTGCTGAACTTACCTCCTCTGTGGAGGTCCAGTGGAAGCTCCAACACCTTCAAAGCTTTCTCTACTTCTACGAAGTATTTATAAAATACATTCAGAGGAACGTGTTCATGATAAACCCATGCATATTATTTCTATTTTAGAGCTGATCTTTGTGGATTGACACAAATAAGAGACTAGAAGATGTTCTGCAGTTTGTTGTGGGTTATTTTGATCTCACTCTGACACTCCTTGAGACTAACAATGAAGTTTGCTTAGAATCAGAGGGTAGAGCTAGCTACTAACTGACCGAAATGAGCTATAGAGATTTTGGAGTATGGTGGACTACTGCTTGGGTAGCTAGCTCTGTGGTTCTATGGAGGTGAGACCTGCCCAGGTGAGAAAATCTAAGCCTTGACCTTCCACATTCTCCCCATCGCCTGGCTCAAGCATGGTGCCTGTTGGTTTACCCAGTGAGCCCTGGAGAGCCACTTTAGTCTCCACTGAAGGGCAGACTGGAATAGTGGGGGCAGGGAGATGCAAGCTGTCTGCCTGGCCCAGAGCGGAGAAGCTAGAGGGTTGGGGTGCTGTGCCTCGAGGCTTCTCTGTTCTCTTAGTCCTTTAGAGAACGTGTTCTTCACAAAATCATCTCAGTAGTTTGAGCAGTGAGGGTGGGGCAGGAAAGCGAACTGGTTTTTATTTTTTAAAAAGGAAACAACGTCTTCCTCTGGCTGCCCTCTTCAGTCGTCCTCTGAGCACTGCTTTGCCGAGGAACCCGTACACATCGCTCTTTTCTGTGTCCCCAGGGACACCATCTTCTAGCCCCTGGCAGACTGCTTTTGTGAGCTGTTTTTCTCATCTTGTAACTCTTATTTTCATGAAGAGATTAAAAACCAATGTAAGAGGCTGCCTAGGACAGGAAGGTGCTCCACAGTGCATGTAGACCTTGAGTTGAAAGATCCTCCACCAGCGTCCACCAGGTAACGGTGTGTGTGCGCGCGCGCGCGTGTGTGTGTGTGTGTGTGTGTGTGTGTGAGAGAGAGAGAGAGAGAGAGAGAGAGAGAGAGAGGAGAGAGAGAGCGTGCTCCTTTTCACTTTTCACCCTTGAATGTACTAGTAACAATTAGTATCAACTTGAAGGGCAGGACCCTTGATCTCTGTATTTAGGAAGAGTTGTAGAGGTCATAGCTTCTTGTGTCCCAAGGATTCTCTCCGAGGCTGCTAGCCTGACTGTGGAACATCAGTGACAACCTGACAAGTCTAATAACCAACTCAGAACTCAGGGGAGGGGGACTCTTAGAGATTCTGTTTCCTGCCAGGAATTTCCAAGGAGGGAGAGGAATCAGCAAACTTTCTAAAGTAACCCCCCCCACACTGCCCAGCCAGGCTGTGTTCAGTGTCTGGAGGCTAGAGAGGAGCCAGCGGGAGGGAGGCCATTCTTCAGGGTGGGGTATCCATACTTCCTGTGGCCTGAGAAATTAGTGTTGGGGCATGAAGATGGAGCACTGGCCTCATGAGTGATTTCAAGTTCCCACACTACCCATCATCCAGAAGGAACCCCAGCCTCCCTTAGGACCATTTACTTCAGCCAGTCAGATTCAGAAGCCCATCCATGGGTAAGAACTGTCCTGAGGCTTCTGCTCCATAGCCTTGGGTCCTCACCACAAGAGAGCAAGGGGGCATCTCATATCTTCCTCCATCAATCACTCTCTACCTGAATTTTTGGCACAGACTCACTTGGTCGGCTGCACTCGCTGACTGGCTAGATTGGCTAGTGGGATCTAGATGAGCCCCAGGGATTTGCCTGCCTCTATGCCACCCCATTCCTCCAGTGCCAGGGCTATAGATGAACCCAATTACACTCATCTCCTCTGTGGGTTCTGAGAATACAAACTCTACTCCTCAGTCTTTCTGTAGTATCTATTGAAACAAGGTCTCACTAAATCCAGTACTCACCAATCAGCTGGGCTGGCTCTCCCAACTCCCTATCCCCTAGAGTTTTAATCTTATTTCTTTCCCATTACTTTTCTGTGTCTATTCACAGTGCTGGACAGGAGGGAAATTGCTTTCATTTTAAAGATGGAAATGGATGTCAGGGTACCACTCGGGTTGATCTGTTCACAACACATTTGCTTTTTTGTGTTTTGGATAAAGTAATACATTTTAAAAAAAACCGGCCAAAGCAAACAGAATGAAGTTATAAGCAGTAAAGACTGTTGCTGGAAATGACCCCCATGACATAGTAGTTTATCTTCATGGCAGCATGTCATGTTTTTTTTTTGACCAGGGACCATTTGTGTTTAAGATACTATGGTAAAGGATAAGGGAAAGAATGGTATAATTACTTTTGTCAGATGAGACTAAGATAATCTACTCAAGACCATGAAGGGCTTAAGACCACTTCACGATTGTTTCTGTGCATGTCCTGCACTGGCTTTCTCCTCCAGTCTCTTCCAATCCTGCACAACAACGGGCTGTACAACCTAGGAGTGGAATGAGGAAGCTCTTTCACTTTTTCTAGCCCTGAGGTCCAACCAGGGGCAGGAAATACCTGATGCACACCCACCGATCCTTCCACTGAATACTTTAAAATGAGTGGAAGAATTGATGGCTGTGAGGTGGGTGGGGCTGGTTGATGATTGACTCCCAGTGGGCTGGAAGAGGACACAGTGCTGTCCCAAGAGGGTGGTGGCTAAAATAAGATACCCCAAAGGGGACAGGATGCAAAAGGGGTGCAACCTGGAAACAGAAAATGTGACAATCATTTTACTGGGAGTGTGTGGGTTCCAACTAGAGAAAGCACAGGAGAGGGAAATGTCTAAACATTTGAGACATTCTCAAACCTAAAGAAGGCTTGAGAAATGAGAAAGCCCCGATGCCCCCAGCCTTGCTTTCATCCCTCTTTCTGACCAGGCTGGATCCTGAGATAGCAGCAGTTTAAGGCACTCACTTTGGGGGAATGGCCTGCCACCTGTTGCTTGGCCAAAGGCATCCTGTGAGTAGTCCTGCCTGAGAGACCATTTGTCTCTAGGAACAAAAGACAGTATGGAGGGAGAGCTGGCCCTATCAGCGTAAGTTGGGGGCACACTGCCTGGGAAGCTGCGATGGTGTTTCCCTTGCTCTTCCATGCAGTGCTGTGCAGCCTGGTTCCGCCTATCCTCCAGAGTCCTGGTCTCCTCACAGGAGGGTAAAGCAGCAGGGGCCTCCAGAAACATGGACACCCTCTCCCTCCACTGCTTTCTGCAGCCTCTTACCCAGTCTCGAACTACCAGACACTGCTGTACTGTGAAGTGCATACAGTTCCTGTGGTGGCACTCCATTTCTATGCGATCAAACTGGTGGCCCAGAGGGCAGGAGACAGACTGTCCTCAGGACCAGGTCTCCACGTGAAAGCCCAAGCCTGAGATAGCCAGCAATTTTTGTGAGAATTGTGAATGTTCTGGGCATCTGTGTGGACCAGATTAGTTTGGTTTCTGTGGGACTGGTTACAGAGCAGAGTCTAAGAGACAGGGAGTTACTGACCCAAAGGAAAAAGATCCAAGAAATGGGTAAGTGTGATGTAATCATAAGGACAGACACAGAGTCACCACAGCTTGTCTTCTGGAGCTAAAAGCATCTCCAGTGTGAAAAGACAAAGAAGTTACTGGGACAAATGCTGGGTGGTGACATTTGGTATCAAAACTTAAGGACTCCAATATTTGTTTATTAATTTGTGTTTTTTGCTAAGTTGCTTTCTGGACAGTTTCATATGTAGAGGAGCATCTAGGAAATCCATTTGTTCACAAGTGCTCAAGTGGTTTGTTCCCAAAAAGTGTTTTGACTCACCAGAGACCCTGAGATTCTGTAATTAGACATTCATTTTGAGGCCTATGTTGATTAGTCTTGGTTGTCAACTTGACTACATGTGGAATTAAATAAAATCCAAATTGCTGGGCACACATGTGAGGGATTTTTTTCTTAATTAAATTCTTTAATTTATATCTAATCTGGATCTTTGAGGTGGAAAGATCACCTTTAATCTGGGCTATGCTTTCTGCTGGCATGTCCTGTATAAAGGACATGGAAGGAGGAAACATTCTCTTTGCCTGTTAGACCTGTCCTCAACTAACAAATCTATTCTTTCTTTGGCATTAGAGCCTGCTTCTTCTGGATTCCAGTGTATACTGAAGACCAACTGAGAAATTCAGCCTCAAGACTGAAGAACTATTAGATTCTTGGACTTTCCACTGGTAGACAGTTATTGTTGGACTAGCTGGACTATAGCCTGTAAGCTATTCTAATAAGTTCCCTTCTTCTCTCCCCCCCCACACACAGTAGAATATATGTGTCTAATATGTATATGTTTTATCATTTCTGCTCCTCTAGAGAACCCTGACTAATACAAGGCCTGCTCCTGGGCCATGCATTGCCTTTGAAGGTCTGTGCAGCTAGCTATCTTCCAGTAAGGAAACTGGGAAGTAATTGGTGGGTAGAGTGGGCAGGACAAGGATCAAAAGAAAGGCTGTGAGAAACAGGGCATAAGGAAAGAAAGGCCCCTGGAAGAGAGATACTCTCAAGGTGTCTGCAATCCAGGACTGAGATGGAAACAGGGATGCTGTGAGCTCAGGAGCACAGCACATTGACTATGTCCCCTCAGGACTTAGGCTTTCTTTCCCTCTGCTTCCCAGGTACATCCAACCACTCCCCAAACTGGTCCTGCAACAGACCCTTACTCCTGGGTGAGCAGCTGGTCCTGGTTTGCCCAGAGCTTTCCCAGTTTGGGCAGAGCAAGTCCTGTGGTCTGGACCCAGCTAAGCCCCAGGCAGAGCAGGAGGGACCATTGCCAGAAAACAAGGAAAGAATTGTGTCTCTTGGTGATGCTGGGGGTTGGGAGCATCCTCTAGTACTAGGTTCCCAAAGAACCTCAGACAGCCATTCAGTAGGAAATAACTGACCCGCTTAGTTAACTGTTCTTGTGGGTACACAGCCCACTTTCATTCTGCCTGTGGGCTGAAGGAATTGGTGGCAGTGTCCATGTGATCACATTACATGTACTCAGGGTCTTTCTTCTTTGGGTCATTTAGAACTATCTGAAGTATGTATGTGTGACTCCAGCAGCTCTTTCTCTTAGGCTTAGTGTTCCTTTCTACAAGATGCTGTGTTTGGTGTTGCATGTTATATTCAAATCCAACTCTTTGTATATTTTCCCTTCTAGAAACAAAAAATGGAAATCCTTCAGACAGGTGTGAAAGGTATCTTCCCCACAGGTAAGAAGACTACTGTGGGTGGGACTCTTTTCACCAGTCAAGGACCACTGCTCAGTGCCTAGAAAGGGACAAACTTCCCTCCAGGCACCTACAGTAAGGCAAATGTACCACCAGATAATTGAATATATTAGGCCATTAACTGTCAGAGTCTCCAAAGCAAGGGCAAGTTCTGCAAGATAATAACCTTCCATTGTGTAAAACAGAGGCCAGGGAGGGTGGGAGGAGATGAAGATAAAGAGATAGATGGACAGAATGGCCTGCCCGAGACTACCTGAGCATTCTACATTGACTTACCACTTCAGACTTGGACAGAAAGTAGGTTCTGGGAGAATGGAAAAATTGGATCGATGAATCCCCAGGGAAAAGATGCCTTGGGCTCTGACCATCGGGGCACTTTATCCCACAACCCTGGCAGTTGTGTGGTGATTAAAGCAGAGGGGTGAATCCTAATTGGTTTGCACCAATTCCTGTCAGTTTTAATCCTCCTCTTCATAAATATTTCTTACACCTGAGCCTCCCTTACTCCCAAAGACAGAAAGAAAGATGGCTGCATCCCAGGGTCACCACCACTGAGGATCCTCCTGGTGGGCAAATCTGGCTGCGGGAAAAGCGCCACAGGGAACAGCATCCTCTGCCGACAAGCATTCGAGTCCAGGCTCGGAGCCCAGTCAGTGACCAGGACCAGCCAGGCAGAGGTGGGCACATGGAAGGGAAGGAGCTTCCTAGTGGTGGACACGCCTCCCATCTTTGAGTCAAAGGCCCAGAACCAAGACAAGGACATTGGAGACTGCTACCTGCTGTGTGCCCCAGGCCCCCATGTACTGCTGTTGGTGACCCAGCTGGGACGCTTCACAGCCCAGGACACCACAGCCGTGAGGAGGGTGAAGGAGATCTTCGGGGCGGGAGTCATGAGGCACATGATCATCCTCTTCACACACAAGGAAGACCTGGCCAATGAGACCTTGGATGAGTTTGTGACCCACACTGACAACCACAGCCTGCGCAGCCTGGTCCAGGAGTGTGGGAGGAGGTACTGTGCCTTTAATAACAGGGCCTCTGGGGAAGAGCAGCAGGGACAGCTGGCAGAGCTCATGGCCCTGGTGAGGGGGCTGGAGCAGGAGTGTGAGGGCTCCTTCCACAGCAATGACCTCTTCTTTCATGCCCAGGAGTTCCTTAGTGGTGGCAACATTGAGCGCCAGGAAGCCTACAGGTGCTACCTGGTCAAAGTGAGGCAGGAGGTAGAGAGGCAGAGGCGGGAGCTGGAGGAGCAGGAGGGCAGCTGGGCCCTCAAGGTGCTTCTCAGGGGCTCAGAGTGTATGGCTGCACACTTTTGGACCTGTGCTGCTTTTGCATTGTCAATACTAATCTTCCTTGTTATTATTTTGCTCATAATTTTTAATGTTTGATGCTCTGTACTTCATAGATATTTCTAAAGTGTCATGTCAGGATGCTTTGCCATAAACATCACCTTCAGAAAACCACTCTCTTGTTCTGTGAGGCACTGCGGCTCTGAGCCTCTTCTGTTTCCCCTTTAGGATTCTGGTTTGGATTATGCAGAGCTCAGGGAGCCTGCAGAGTAGGAGCAGGAAGGATCAGAGGAACCAGAGGGGTCAGGGACACCAACAGAGAGAACATAGCCCACATAATCAACTGACCAGGATTCATGGGGGCTCACAGAGATCAGGGAGCCAGTAGGGGTCTGACCTAGGTTCCCTGCATGTATGTTATGGCCCAGTAGTTTGGTGTTCTGTGGGACCCCTAACAGTGGGGGTGGGGGGGCTGTCTCTGACTCTTTTACCTACTGGGTTACCTCATCCAGCCTTAATAGGATAGTATGTGTCTTGTCTTATTTCAGCTTGTTATGCAGTGTTTGGTTGATGCCCCTAGGAGGCCTGCTCTTTTCTGAGGGAGGCGGGAGGGTGGATCTAGAGTAGAGGGAAGGTGTGGGGGGGACAGACAATACGGGGAGGGGAGGGACAGGAAACTGCGGTTGGCATGTAATTATGAGAGAAGAATTTAAAAAAATAAATTAATTTTAAAAAAGAAGGAAAGCATTCTGGTTTAGTACCGGCTTCTATCCCCAGTTCTGGTAGAAACTTTCCCATTCTCTACTGATGGATTCAGAAGAGAGCTTGCAGCCCATGCCAACCAATGAAAAGTGACTAAAGGTCTCGGGGGTGGGGGGGAGGAAAGGCAGGGAAAGCCACAGGAAGAGACAAACCCTTGCTCTGAACATTGATGAGATGGAGGAAACCGAGCTCCCCTAGGGTCCGGCTCTAAAGCTGCCTGGTTTCTATATTGTCAATATGTTGGCCAATAACCTCCCCATTGTGTAAGTGATTTGAATTTCAAATCTCTTTACAAACATCTAAAAACATTTTAAATAATGAAGTCTTCATATTGCCTTTATTTCTATCAATTTTAAAAATAACATTTAAAGTTTGTAAATTTATCATACGTAACACTGGTTTTGGAAAGACGATTTTGTTTTTTTATACATTTTTAAAATTTAAATTAGAAACACTCTTATTTTACATATCAACCCCAGTCCCTCTCCCTCCCATCCTCCCATGCCCCCCACCAACCCCTTATCCCCTCTCCTTTCTGCTCTCCTGGGAGGGTGAGGTCTTCCATGGGGGACCATCAAAGTCTGTCAAATCATTTGGGACAGGGCCTAGGCCCTCCGCCATGTGTCTAGGCTGAGAGAGTATCCCTCCATGGGGAATGGGCTCTCAAAGGCCATTCATACTGCACGAAGTCCAAAGCCTGCACGAGCGTCCCAGCTGACCACCTACATTCAGGGTGTTGGTTTAGTCCTAGAAAGAATATTTTCATGTGTCTACAATGTACTTTTAGCACGTCCCCCCATTCCCTACCTGTCTTCCTCCTCTTATTAGTCCCTCTGTTCCCCTAGACAATTTCACTTCTTCCATGTCAGATATCCATACATACATGCATACATACATAGTTTTCATTTATCTATATGAAATCTAGAATCTGCAAAAGATATGCAATATTTGTCTGAAGCTGACTAAATTTGCTTAGTGTAATTAACTCCAGTAGCATCTATTTCCTGACATAGTTTCATTGCTTTTCATAGTAAATAAAATCCTATTGTGATGTGCACAGGTGTTGTGTCCTGTATGGTTTAGGCAACCATATTTACCAAGAGAGAGAGTCAGTCTTCTTCAAGGACAAACTTCCCAATAGGTTCTACAATCCCATGTAGTCATCACTAGACACATATACATATTGGCCACACTAGATGGACTCAGCAGGTAGTATTTATTTGTACACTAGGACACATATGTATAATAACGAAAGGATTAGAGGCCATGGAGCTGAGAGGGAATAAGAAAGACCTAGGAGACATTGGAGGGGTAGAAATGATGTAACTATAGTTGTCATGCTTGAAGAATGAAATAAGCAGAAAAAGGTTCCATTGTCACCACACTTTACTTTTCATTTTCCGATTTTAGATCATTTAGGTTCAATAATTGAGCTGTTGTTAGCAATGCTTAGTGCCGCCATAGACACTGATGTGTGGTTGTCTCTGTGGTGTGAATATGGATGAATATGCATGAACATAGCAACCTGTGTACTTCCCCTATATCAGGGCACAGAGTAAACATTCCCATTTCCAAAGGAAGAACAGGAGGACAGTATGGAAACACTGGACCAAAACCGAGGAAATCAGATGCCTTGTCATTCTATATGCTATAGCTGGGTTACATGGTCTATCTATTTTTAGTTTCCTAAAGATGCTAATTTCCATGGTAGCTGAACTAGTTTACATCCACACCCGCAGTGTATAAGTATCCTCCTTTTCCCTGCATCCTCTCCAGAAGAGGGTTCCAGGCCCCTTAGACCTGGAGTTACAGGCAGTTGAGAATTGCTTGATGTGATTTCTGGGAAACCAACTCTGGTCCTCTGAAACACACTCACTCTTAACTGCTGAGCCATCCTTCCAACCCCTCAAGAAATTTGCATTTTTCTAATGGTTAGTAATGCAGACATTTTTTTCTTATGCTTTTTGGTCATTTGCAGTCCATCTTTTGAGAAATGTCTGAGTGTTTGAGTGTGATCAATCCTTTCATCTCCTGTTTCTTCCTCTGTCTTACACTTTTCATTGTAGAGTTTTTCATTTTCTTGGAAGCTTTACTCCAAAGCATTTCTCTCACTCATCCTGGAGCTGCCTTTTCCACTAGACTGGCTGGCCAGAGAGACCCTGGGATCCGCTTGCATCCCTTTCCCTCCAGTTCTGGAATCACAGATGTGCACCACTGAGCTTTGGTTTTATATGGACACATGTTTGGTGTTGGGCAAGTACTTTACCCACCACCCCAAATCCATCTTCCTAATCTGATTTTCACACACACACACACACACACACACACACACACACACACACAGACTAATTTTATTTCTATTTGTGTGTGTGCATGTGTGTCTGTATGGAAATGTGCACGTGTGAGTGCAGCGCCGCTGGAGGCCACAAAAGGGCATAGGACTACCTCGAGCTGCAGTCACAGGCTATTGTGAGCTGCCTGGTGTGGCTGCTGGGATTCAAACTCTGGTTTTGGAGAAGAGCAATATGCGATCTTATCCCTTGAGCCGGTTCTCCAACTCATTTTCACCGTTTTCTTTTTGTATTTTAAGACAGGGCTTCTCTGTGTAGCTTTGTAGACCAGGCTGGCCTCAAACTCACAGAGATCTGCCTGCCTCTGCCTCTGCCTCCTGAATTCTGGGATTAAAGGCATGTGCCACCACCACCCAGCCCACCTTTTGTTTATTTTTTTAAAATGGCTGAAGAATTAAGGAGAATAATGTTATAGCTTCACACATGGAAATTATATGTGATTTAAAATTCAGTGCTCATCAAATTTTATGAATATGTAGCCTCTTGATCATAGTGGCTTTTGTGTCTATGCTGTCTACTATACAATCTTCCAAGCCCAAGATACGCATCTTCAGGCCTTTTAATCACTGACCTTAGATTCTCTTCTTCCTGTGTTTCTTGACTGCTCACATTGTGTTCCTTGGGGTGAGACCCACGCTGCTCTTATGACCTCTTCACCCAGTTCCCACTCATGCCCAAGCCTCTTGACTTCATTCTCTTCTATACTCAGAGCCCCCTGCTTCAGACACACTGCCCTTATCCTTTCTTGGGGTTGGAGAGATGATGGAGACATATATAAATTATATATATATATATATATAATTTAAATTAGAAACAATTAATTTACCTATCAGTCCCAGTTCCCTCTCCCTCCCATCCTCCCATGCCCCACACCAACACACCAACCTCCCATCCACTCCCCAGGGAGGGTGAGACCTTCCATGGGGGATCATCAAAGTCTGTCATATCATTTGTGGAAGGGCCTAGTCGCCACCCCCCCAAGGCTCTAGGCTAAGGGAGGAAGTCCATTCATGAGAAATTGGCTTCCAAAATCCATTTGTGTACTAGGGATAAATACTGATTCCACTGCCAGAGACCTCGTAGACTGCCCAGGTCTCCTAACTGACACCCACATTCAGGGGCCTGGTTCCATTCTATGCTGGTTCCCCAGCTGTCAGACTGGGGTTCATGAGCTTCCACTTGCTCAGGGGACCTGACTTTCACAGCCTCTTTATTCTCTTGCTTTTATTCTGATCCTCCTGTCTTACTTCTTATGTCTTACTTCTAGCTTTTTCCAGATTCTTCTCTATCTAGTTTCAAAACTGTCTTTCTCTCAGGAGACTTGAAGCAATAAAGAAAATACAAAAGTTGTTTCTCATTGCTCAAAAGAACATTCCTAGGGCAAGGGACAAGGAGTTAAGCCATTACCATGGCAACACAAGGGCCCAAGGTTACCATGACATTGGGGGGGGGGGCATACAGTGAGATAAGCTTTGAGACATAAATAAGCCTTTTGTTAACACACTGGCAAGGGAAGAATTGGCATGATTTTCCTGATAGCCTTGGTTGGACATCTATGACTCTGACTTTGCGAAAGCTGTAAAGTTTTAAATTTATGTTCTACTTAGTCTAGTTTGAATGTGCTTTGAGGAAAAGGTGAGCTAATTGTGTGTTGTTAGTCTAAGCCAAAAGGAACAGAGCAGGCTTTTAAGCATCTATAGCCCTCATGGGACAAAAAGATCTAATTATGAAGCATGCCCTAGTATACATTCTATATGTAAAAACCATACAGCTAAATGAAAAGTCACCTAACTACCCACAGACATACGTGCCCATAAGACTGAGATGCAATCATGAGATTACATACTACAATGCAGGTATTGGGGAGACACCAAACTGCTTTAGCAAAGTGAGCAACAGTTTCCAGAGTTGATGGTTCTGCAGATCTTGTTTGGACAGGATTAACTGTTGCCAGGACTTCTCTTGTCCTGCAAGGTCCTGCTGCTGCTTCAGCCCCAAATAAACACAGAGACACTATATTAGTTATAAAATGGTTGGCTGATGGGCTAGGGCTTCTTATTGGCTAGCTCTGTCTTAATTATTAACCCATTACTACTAATCTATGTACTTCTACATGGTCTTATCTTACCAGAGAATGTTTGGTGTGTCCTTTCTTCCCAGTCCCTACATGGCCTCTTCTCCCAGTCTCTCTCTGCCTACCTTTCCCAGAATTCTCATCTTCTAGTTGTGCCTATCTTCCTGCCTCTATTGGCCAAACTATTTTATTAATCAACCAATAAGAAAAAACATATATACAGAAGGACATCCCTCATCATTTACCCTCCATCAGATAACCATTCCTCTGCTGGGTTGACATCTGAACACGAGTTGTCACCTACTGTAACTCTCACAGCCCCTGGCAATTTACATAATGTTATTAATAAGAAAACTGGTTTATCTGATTCCAGGGAGTCAATGAGAGTGCAACTGAGGTCCCCAGCATAGTCAGAGATGGGGGGAAGGGGAAGGGCTGATGGCAGAAATCCCCTGAAGAGGCTCAGTGCCCCTGGGTAATATACAAGTTAATTAAAATAGCTATAATAATCAAACCACACATAATCAGAACGGTGACTGCTACGATGTGGGAACACGTGCACGCTTTGACTCTGCAAAGCTTCTTAGCCGCCCAGCTGCCCTCCTGCTCCTCCAGCTCCCGCCTCTGCCTCTCTACCTCCTGCCTCACTTTGACCAGGTAGCACCTGTAGGCTTCCTGGCGCTCACTGTTGCCACCACTGAGGAACACATGGGCATGCAAGAAGAGGTCATTGCTGTGGAAGGAGCCCTCACACTCCTGCTCCAGCCCCCTCACCAGGGCCATGAGCTCTGCCAGCTGTCCCTGCTGCTCTTCCCCAGAGGCCCTGTTATTAAAGGCACAGTACCTCCTCCCACACTCCTGGACCAGGCTGCGCAGGCTGTGGTTGTCAGTGTGGGTCACAAACTCATCCAAGGTCTCATTGGCCAGGTCTTCCTTGTGTGTGAAGAGGATGATCATGTGCCTCATGACTCCCGCCCCGAAGATCTCCTTCACCCTCCTCACGGCTGTGGTGTCCTGGGCTGTGAAGCGTCCCAGCTGGGTCACCAACAGCAGTACATGGGGGCCTGGGGCACACAGCAGGTAGCAGTCTCCAATGTCCTTGTCTTGGTTCTGGGCCTTTGACTCAAAGATGGGAGGCGTGTCCACCACTAGGAAGCTCCTTCCCTTCCATGTGCCCACTTCTGCCTGGCTGGTCCTGGTCACTGACTGGGCTCCGAGCCTGGACTCGAATGCTTGTCGGCAGAGGATGCTGTTCCCTGTGGCGCTTTTCCCGCAGCCAGATTTGCCCACCAGGAGGATCCTCAGCCAGCAGGATTCTGCTACATAGCAGGCTTCCCTGCTCCCTGTGGGCAAGAGATGGTTTGTGCCTCACTTAGTAATTCTTCAGGCTGTGATGGTTGTGGGTCCTTGCAGATAGCTCCCCGTTCCCAGAAAAATAGGTGTCATTCAAATGTTCCCAACTCTGCCTATAATTTTAGGTGGTTCTTGACTTTGAAGTCCCTGTTGGGAGCCCATCCTAGGACACACAGGCAGGGGGTGGGACTGCCCGGGAAGAAGAGGTTCCATCTGAACCACAAAAATTTGTAATTTCTGAAGATAAGGTCCTTGTGCTCTCCTCAGGAGGAGAGCACTGGGATTTGAGATGTCTGGGAAATGCTACAGAGTGGGCTGCTGAAGAAGGGTGGAAGAGATGATGGCTGGAAACACTTAGAACTAGACATGCTAGAGAGGCCGTCTATCTGCCGGGTGTGGCCCAGGGCCTATAACAAAAGCAGTGCTGGAGGACCCCATGAAGCCAGAGTTCAAATCTCCAGCATGGAAGGGCTCAGGATCTGGGACTGGCTTATGAGTCCAAATGAATTTTAAGTGCACTATAGACGCCGTTTGGGGGAAGCTGAGGGTGTGGCTCAGTTGTAGAATGCCCATTCAGCAGGTGTGAGGCTAAGTATTCTCAGTGTCACAGAAAATAAAATCTGTTAAAATTTATTTTACTCCTTTTACTCTGTCTCTCCCTTAGTGTTTTGAAGCATTTTGTAAGAAATAGTAGCTTTAGGGACTCTTTCTTTCTTCCTTTTTTTTTCTTTTGCACAGCTGAGAGGGGATGAGGGAAGAAAGAGAAACTATGTGAGCACATGTGTATGTATGTGTACATATATGTACATTAAAACAACAGTGGCTTGGACACAAGAGATTTGGTGACAAGGGAAACAGCAGTGGCCTTTTTCTTCTTGATCTTAACAGAGTGTCTGACCCTGGTCCCCCAAGAGGTGGGATAAGGGACAGTGGCTCCTTCCCATTCTTAATTTCTTCAGGGCCTTGGTGCTTTCTTACCTTCAGCTATGGTTCCATACGTGCCCTTCTTAAGGCCTTCCATTCTTTTCTGGAACCAAAATAGGAAATGAAGTAAAGTCAGGTCCATGTGGGAACTGGTAAGACACTTTGACCCAGATCCTTGTGTGACCATTTCCATTGCTAACTCTCCCACCTGTGCTAGATGAGGCAGGGTCACCCCTGTACAATGTGCTTTTGTGGGAAAGCAGATGTTTTACAATAGATGAACTGATGATCTCACCAAGCTAGAAGTATGGAATGTGGGAACTGTTCTTCTATGAGCAAGAACTGGACTTTAAAAAACTGAACCAAAGTAGATGAGTCTGCCAGGATAGAGAAAACAATTGCTGTGCTATGAATACATTGGTTTGTTGGAAGCACCAGGCATTTCCAGCATTGTAAAATGTTCCAGAGGCAAAGAGGCAAACACAACATGCTTCCCCTGAGTGGATAGAATGGAGGATGGCAACTCCTCCAGGAACTGCCCTGAGAGGAAGGAGGACAGGAGGTCTGGCAAGACTTCCTCCCCACAGAGGATGAGGAGGAGACTGTGGTGCCATCATAGAAAGTGTCAGCGTTCAGGACAAGATAGAATTCCCATGGGGGAGTTCACCAAGTATCTTCCCTGCTTGGTTCAGAGGCTCTGCTCTACCAAATAATCACCATTTTTGTATTTTAGCACATTCAGCCACAGACTGCAGCAACCATGCATAAATATCCTGTTCAAAGTGGTATAATGCTGTGTCACTGGCTTGGGTGTGATGGAAAGGGAAGCCTTTGGTAAGAAGGGCTAGCCTGTGACACCAGCCACCCCTGCATGAAGTCTTAGCTCATGTTAGTAAGTTTGTTTTTAAAAGCTTGTAGTTTTAAAACACATTTGTGCTTTCATTTGCACATGAAAAAACAGAGTTAAAAAGATAAACAATAAAAACAAAATTAAAAACCATGGAATGAAAACAACTAACTACCATTTGCAACAAGGAAACAAATGGTTTGCTGCTCTCCTGCAGGTGCTCCACCCGATTAAAACATACAACATCACAAGTGTGCTTCATGATTGTTCATTTTCTCCCTCAGTCTCCTGTCTCATTCTTCATTCTAACCTTCATAGCAATCAGTATTTTCATGGTTTTATGTGTTTGAGTATTTGCATATGTATTTAGATATTTAGACAATTCTCAGTCCTGTTTTTGCATGTATTTCTACATAAATGCTATTTTTGCAACAGCTTTTTTTTTATTAATAGACATCCAAGTTGTTCTGTAATCATTTCTTTTCACTACAAAAAATACTGTAAGATAATCCTCACAGGCACCTCTTGGCACTCCTGTTGAAAATCTAGGGTACACATTTTATTCTAGCTGGATATGGCCAGGTTTAACTCTTGAGTGGGTCCAGTCAGCTCTTGCTTACCCCAGCATCCCAGGAGAAGCTCCAAATCTCCATAGGTGTTCCATGGTGACACACTGCGTTTTTTATCACACTTGTGAACACAGGGCTGACCATTACTGAATTTAAGATATGGCATGGCTTGTGTGCTACTTATAGTTGCTTCTCTTATTTTGTCTTTCACAATTTTATTTTGCAAAGACAAATGGCTTTTCTTGGACTTCTTCATAAGAATCCATCAATTCTTTTCCCATTTCCGGAATGTCTTAAGGCACCCGTCTCCTCCTCTGCCCTGTCTCCTCCTCTTCCCTGTTCTGATTGCCCACCTCCACATCCCCCGTCTTCCCTACGCCACTCTTCTTCCCCTCCTTTCCTTGCGCCCAGAGAAGAGCAGCTGCCTCACAGCCATCTCTTACATACTGCTCTTATCACTGTAGGCACATCTGGTTCTTAGGAAAATTCTTCAAGTCATAGAGCACTGTTTCTACTAATAGTTCGAGATTTGAATGTGAAAGATACAGTGTCAGTTTCAACAAAGCTGAACTTCCCCACCATGACTGTCCTGTGTAGACACTAATCATGTCCAGGATTTTTACATGCTTTTTTTCTTCTGTGCCCCCTATGCTGTTATTTATAGGCCACTTTAAAGTTACATGACCTGCCCAGAGTCAGACAATTGCCTTATAGCTAACTCTCCTTTTCTCTGAGTTATCTCTTGAGATTTCTCAGCCAGTGGGAAGTTGGGGGGAGACCATTCCCAATAAATCAACAATTTTCCCTTCATGGAAACCTATGTATGATGCTGCTGTCCCGTGCTTTGAACACAAACTAGTATTGACTGTTGGAAATCTCCCCAAAACTAACACAGAGAATTGTACTTATATGTCTAAGTTCATGTTTTCACAAAATAAAAATACCACCATGTCAGCCAAAAGAATTACTCAAAGATAAGATCACTTAGGAGTGTCTGTTCTATTTTGAAGAATTTCATTTAGAGCCTGACTTGGTTCTCAGTGTCACTTGCATGTATGCAATGTGGCTGTCACAACCAAATTCAGCACCATTAGCAGGGAAGGTTCTGAATCAGTTTCTGAAAAATCAGACAAGAGATGTATGTCCCACTCAGGGAGAAGAACAAATGCCCAGAGATGAGACAGAGAGCTTGCGATAGAGACACTAAATGAGTCCCAGACCACGAAGGAGAGAGACTGACAACAGCCTCGGAAAAGGAAGGGGAAAGAAGGGGTCGTATGATGGGTGTGAAGAGATGTTGTGGCTGTTAGCCTGCAGAGCACACTGCGGTGGGGAGACTGAGAATGATCATAGATCTCTTCTCCAAAAAGGAAACTGCTGCTTATTTTCCACAGTGTGGATGCAGACAGGCAGTGTGTGAGTGGAGGCAGATGACAAGGGGCAGGTATCACTCAGGGGAAAAGCAAATACACAAAATGAGCATTCTTGTCTGAAACCAGCCAGGCTGATTTATCACGGCACTTTATTTTACCGAGCAATGAGAACACAGTGCAGGGAGTTACTTTATGAGAGATGGCCTTTTTGTCTTCCCTATTCTTAAGTACCAGGCTGGCAGCTATGATGCAGGGCAAAGCAAGGGCTGCCCAAGCTTGACTTTGAGGGCCAGGACACCAGTGAAGAGCTGAAGATGCTCACCTCCACCTGCAATCCCAGCATCGCACACAGTGAAGCAGCCGGTGGAGGTAGGAGAATTGGCTGGAAGCTGTCAGGCCAGCTAGCCCATGGTATAGCAGACACAAGAAAGATGCTGTTTGCACCAAGGATAAGGGTAGATGTTACTTCAGAAAGTTGTCCTCTGACTTCCACAAGTGTCCTGTGGCACCAGAGTGTGCCTGGACTCTCTCACACAACTAAAAGTAGACACAAACATTTTTACTGATTCTGCCCCTCCCCTATTCTTTTATATCCAGGTACTGGAGTCACAGGGCAGGTTAGTGACTAAGAGTCCAGGAAACAGCACCCTCTCCTTAGTAAGGTTCAGCTGACAAGGGGTGTTCATGTGAGCCTTGAACTCAAGGTTGTTGACCTACCACAGTGTTGAGGTGTGTATGGGAAAGGTATGGGCTACCCGGGCTGGTTTTCAGAATACGATCTATTGTAAGGTGGAGTTCAATGACTGGTCTTCTAAGGAAAGACTGGATCACGAGGGAGAGAATATAAAGATTCCACCCTGGCCTGTAGAACCTTAACCACCTATCCCAACATCCTTGATGTGAGGCCAGTCTAGTCTGAGTGGACCTTTGAAGTGTCTGGGGTAAAATGGAGAGGTGTGCGCCACCTGCTGGGGAGTTTGGGAAAGCCTGTGGACAGGGGAACTGTTTCCCATCTGTCAAAGTCAAGAGCATTCTTTTAGCTGTTGAATTGAGGGTTTCAGAGAAGACACAGGCAATGGGTTGGAAAGCCCCAGCATCCCCATGGGCTGGGATCTGTCCCAGAATATGTTGTCACTGATGCTCACTTCACTGTCCAGGGGATCCAAAGTGCTAGAGCTCCCATGAGGGCCCGGGTAGAGAGAAGCAGAGAGGCTCCCCAGTGGTCCTCCCAGCCCCCAGTGGCTGTCAGAGCCATGGTGTTTTCCTCCTTACCCGGGGCTCGGCCTCCGTCACCAGCATGAGTCCCTTGCAGGCAGGAGGAGCGATTGTGCCTGATGAATGGTGCTCTCACAGGATGGCCACTTGCCGAGCTGTGAATCCAGAGTCAGGGAGAGAAGAAAAACCACTGTGATACAGCACACACCACTGCCCAGCAGACTGTCCCCTTCAGTCGGTGGAAAGGCTGTGAATGCCGACCCAACATCCGCCAGAACACAGCAGAAGAGCTGTGGTGAACGGCCTCTTCCTGTGGAAAGCGGCTGGGCTGCCCTGCCCTACTCATTTCCCCTTCAGGAAGGTATGCGCACACCCCATAATGGGGGCCAGAAAGTGGGGGACAGCCCCCTCCCCTGGGTTCAAGAAAGCCCTTTTATGACTGGAAAGTGCTGAAACCCAGATTTCCCCCATTAGTACTCAAGGTGAGCATCTGTACTCCCCCAAGACCTGGGTCCTACATGACCTCTGTGTCTTTAGAACCGTCCCCTAAAGAGGAGCAGAAATGCACTGGTGGTGCCAGAGGGCCTAGATAAGCCCTCAAAGGACAGCTGAGCTCACACATGAGACTGGGTGCTGGCTGCCTCTTTGCTATGTGACAGAGCCTTAGGTGGCTCAGCTATGGGAAGTTCCGGTGGACTGGGAGCAGAAGGGAGTTTTGTTTATTTGTTTTTGGTTTTGTTTTTACTTGATTGCATTTGTTAAGTTTGAGCCTTGAACATATAACACAGCTTTGGCTTATGCAGGTGGTTTTCATCTCAGAAAATTCCCCTATGATGTTTTCTGTTGGCAAGGAAGTGTGGTTGGCTTTAGATTATGAACACTAGGATTTAAAGGGATCTGGAGGTGACATGCTAAGACGCTGCAGGAAGGAGGGGGTGGTTAGTTTGAAACCATATAGATACATCCCTCTGTATCCATTTTCAAGAGAAGACATAACTCAAGCTGAGCATGGTGGCTTATTCTTATCCCTGTTTGTCGGGGGGCTGAAGCAGGAGGATTGCCTTGAGTTAGAAGGCAGCCTAAGCCACTGAGTGAGACTGTCTAACAAGAAGCTATAGCTCTTCTTCAAGAGGATGTGGTAGCAACCTTTATTGGTGCCACAAATTATAACTCCCAGGAAAAGGAAAATCGATTTTCTTCAATGAAGTGACACTGGGTACCAACCACACCCTAGGGCAGGACTCATGCTCAGGAGCATCGGCTAACAAATCCAAATTCATGTTGTTAAGACATAAAACAAAACAAAAAAAAGCATGAGGTTCTGAGAGGTGGGAGGTGGGGAGGATTTGGGAGGACTTGGAGAATGTGAGAGAATATGACCAGAATATATTATATGAAATTATCAAAGAATAAATTTTAAAAGGAAAAGAAAATGCTTGTTTTCTGTGTGGTATGACTTTGTCCCCATTTGTAAGCTACCAGGTGTATTCACCATTTTAAGGGAAGAATGGCCCACAGGAATGATGAAAATGTATAAAGGAAGCTTTAGTTAGACAAATTTAATTTTTTAAAACTCTGAATGAAAATAGTTAAAGATGAGACTCATCACCTCAAAGCCTTTGTAAAGCTGATGCGCTGATGCCATGTTTTCCATACTGCGGGCTCTGAGCCGAGTTCTAAGTATTCAATTTTTAAAAGATTTCCTTCGTAGTTAAAACACCTAAGACCAGCAGGGCGGTGGTAGTGCACGCCTTTAATCTAGCACTTGGGAGGCAGAGGCAGGCTCATCTCTGAGTTCGAGACCAGACTTGTCTACAAGAGCTAGTTCCAGGACAGCCTCCAAAGCCACAGAGAAACCCTATCTTGAAAAAACAAACAAACAAACAAAAAATCTAAGACCAGAGCTATCTGCTATTCTGGTCCCCAATGCCCATCTTTTTGTAGACCAGCAGGTATATGAGGAAGGCCACACCCAGGAAGATAGTCACGCCCTTCTTGTAGGATTTCTGCCATTCCCACAACCTAGTTAGAAGCCTGGTGTGCAGGGGTCTGTGCATGCGTGTTGCCACCATCTCTGCCACCTTGGTGAGTTGGTCCTGGGGATCAGCGCTCCGCATGGTCTTCACCAGATCATACACTTCATTGGAGTAGTACGTGCCGCCGTGCTCCCTCACCAGGCGAGCGACCAAGTTTAGCAGCTGCTCAGCTTGTGCCTCACGCTCATGGCCAGTAGCGAGGTTGTTCAGGGCGCACACACGACCCCCGCACTCTGTTACCAGCTTCCGCAGCGCGTGGTTATCAGTGCAGCGCACATAATCCTGGATCGACTCTCCAGCTAGGTCTTCCTTTCTAGTGAACACCACAACAGTCCGCGCCATCACCTGTTCCCCGAACACCCGCTTCACCCCAGCCAGCGCCTGGCAGTCCTGGGTGGTGAAGCGACCTAGCTGGGTGACCAGCAGCAGCACATGCGGCCCGGGTGATGACAGTAGGAAACAGCGGGCTGTCTCCATGCACCCAGGGTCGGTCTGCAGAACCTCAGAGCTGAAGATATCTGGGGTGTCCACCACCTCCACGTAGCAGGTGGCCCATCTCCTGTTGGCGCGGGAGCAGGCTCTGGTGACAGGCACAGCCCCCAGCTTGGACAGAAAGCACTTCTGGCCCAGGATGCTGTTACCAGTGGCACTCTTGCCAGTCCCGGTTCTACCTACCAGGATGAGCCTCAGCAGGGGCACCCTTGGGGCCGGTGAATCCTCCTCCAAGCCTGAGGACCAGATATGGCAGCATTAAGTCATAGTCATGGCTTTCCCCTGGAACTCACCTGTGTTCTAGCCTTCAGCACAAATGGGAAGAACCCACATGCCATGCTCCCCTTGGGAGCCTGGTGCTCTCATCTGTTTGGGCTCTCTGAGCTCAGGCTCCTCCCTATCTTTCCTCTCCGCCTTTGGATTTCCTGCACCCGCAAATGCTCCTGCGTTTCTGAAAGTGGTCATTATAACTCCTGGGTCTACCAGGGCCTCTGGTCCTGCATACAAAGGCCAACCTGATGCTGATTTGACTCTGATGTACCCCCAGATGCTGGCCATCAAGCACAGGGGAGCCCCTCAGTCCCAGACACAGGTTGAATCTCAGCCAACCAAAATGTTCCTTGCGTAAGAGCAGAAAGTGCTCAGTCTAGGACACATCTCTCTCTTTTGCAACAGTGGAGATAATGTGGGGCTTTCTCCCGGGTTGTGAGAAAGTTAGAGAGGACTCACTCACCACCTTTCATGTTTCTTGTCGTAAGCTGACTCCCTAAAGAGAATGTCTCCCCTTTTACATAATATTTTGTTATATTTTATTTATGGGGGGGTTATACCACTGTGTCCTATGGAGGCTAAAGGTCAAGTTTCAAGAGTCATTTCCCTCCTTCCATCATGTGTGCTCAGGAGCTGAAATCAGCTTATCAGGCTTGGCTGCTTATGCCTTTAGTCAGCTTCCTGACCCCCAAACTCCAAATACCCAGTTAATCTTTTGTTCTGATACTGGAGACTTGATGAGTGAGGCTCACTCTAGTACTGGATTTCCCATCCTCTGTGTAATTTTTGTGGAGACCAGAGTAGGTTTAGGATGCACCTTCATGCTAGGAACCAGTGACAGGCTAGACAAAGCTGTGAGCGCCTCTCAGCAGGGCAAGGCCAGAGACACAGCCAAATACAGGACCCAGGTCCTGCTGGTTCATCCCAGGACCTTCCAGACCTGAGGAAGCTCCACCTAATTCTTACCCTTAGCCCCCACCCCAGCCAGGATGCACTGAGAGAAGGGCTCTTACCATAGATGCTTTCCTCGTCTCTTGCCATCTTCCTTCCTCCCATGCTTCTTAGATGACTCTCAGTTATTTTCTCATTCATGTGCTCATTCCTGCAAATGGACAAAACCCAAACACAATGCCAGGCAAAGTCTAAAGAGCAGGGTCCCTGGAGTGGCAAAGCAAGGCCTTAAGGGACAGGCATGTGTCCAGACAAGATGGGTGCCTTTTGTCCACTGTAGCAAAATCTGCTATTCCTTCTTAGATATGGCATCTGGATTTTGAAGATGAACATCTGGTTGCAGTGCTAGCTTGACACCCCGAGCTTGCTCTACTGATGCTGGTATAGGTATACAAAGTTGTCTGATGAGTTTCTAAGCCCCTGTTTTTAGTAACGTCCCTTCCACCACTGATGCTCTGACTATAACATCATCTGATACAACCAAGCATTCTCTGGTCATGTGTGCATGATCCCAGGAGTTCCTCAGCACAAAAGCACAACGTCTGCTGCTCCAGCCTCATTTCCACCTGACAGCCTCAGCCTGTGGCTGCACAGACACCAGACTCAGCCTGTGCAACCCACTCTGGCTTTTCTCTTGTGAGAGCTTTGCTCCCACATTCCTGTCTGAGTCCTTATCTGCATTTCTCTATAATTTCAGAATCTATCTCTTTGTCTCCACTATGGGTGACATGGTTCCTCCCACCCTCCCTCCTGTGGGCAATGCACACAGAGAAAAGGAAAATGCTAACTCAGCAGCCTATCTCCCAAGAGGAGCTTTGGGAACAGGTTGGGTAAACCTCGCTTCTCCATCTCCAAAGCCTTTAGTAGAAGTCACTGTTTGGTTCTGTGTCACTGCTCTGGGTACAGAAATCAACAAATTGCCATAAATGATGCAGAAATAAGAAACAGCTGTAAGACTGAGAGCAATGAACAAGACCTCGGCAGGAGCTTGAAGACCTTATCCAGGAGGAAAATGAGAGTGTGTGGACAGGCCACTAGAACTCCCCAGAGTTCAGAGCGGAAGCTGACATTGTTTTCAAGAGAAAAATAACATCTTGAGTGAAATTTTGGGTTACAAATGGTTTTATGGTCTGGGCTTATAAAACATGACAATTCTATGTGCTTCAGAGAGCTCAGCAGTCACCCAGCTCCTTGCCTCCAGGCTTGATGTTTAAGTGTTCCCCCCAACATCCCATTTCTTGGACCTATCCTCAGTGGCTCTGACACAAGTGGGACATTTGTCATGAGCCTAATCCACACTCAGCTTTTGAAAACGAGCTATTTCTCAAACTCAGGAGTGGGACAAAGTTGAATCAGGAAGTGAAGGTTTAAATGACAGGTGGGACTAGGCTTGATGACCAAGTTCCACTCCTCTGAGGTCTGCTAGAGGCTCCCCTTCACACACAGGTAGTGAGAAGGGGCTTCAGAGGGGTGCAGACTTGGTACAACGAGACTGGCCTTACAAGCATGGTGTATGGGAGCACAGGAGTTCTTTTGCTTTTGCTGAATGTTCAGTTTGAAGAATGGTGTCTTCTAAACTGCATTTTGTTTCTGGAAGGTGATCTAGAATAAATTTCTCTTACCGCATGAAAGTAGTATGGGAAGAGACGAGTTTTGTTCATCAAGAATATGTGTACTCCTAAAACTTCCTCTGAACTTGCTCAAGTTGAAATCCAGACCATCGCTCAAGCATCTGGAAGCCTGCACTTGCCTGTGCCGCATGCACTGCACAGTGCTTTGCAAAATGCAGGTGTGGAGGCAGCAGACACATTGGTCTCACAGCCAAGACCCCTCTTAACCCCAGCTCACAGGCTCAGGCTCACCTTTCTTGGTAACAGACTCTGAAGTGGCCCAGAGAAGCCCCGGCCTCCTGCCTTCCCTTCAGCGGTGAATACAGAGGTCTCTGGGTGTTGAGGGCGGAGCAGAAAGGAAGTCACTGGGCGGCCTGGGTCTCAGAGATCAGGAAACTGAGAGAATGGCCGGATGATGATGGTTTAAAGAGACAGAAACATGGGAGGGAAGAGGGAGTTAGGAGAAAGAGAAGGGGAGAAGAGGAGGGGAGAGGAGGACATGAGGGACCAGGAAGATTGAGTCAGGGGAAGAATAGAGGAGAGCAAGAAAAGAGATACCATAATGGATTTAAAGAGAAATCTGGCACTAGGGAAATGTCCAGAGATCTACAAGGATGACCCTAAACTAACAATCTAAGCAATAGTGGAGAGGCTACCTTAAATGCCCTTCCCCTGTAATGAGATTGATGACTACCTTATATTCCATCCTAGAGCCTTCACCCAATAGCTGATGGAAGCAGAAGCAGACACCCACAGCTAAACACTGAGCTGAACTCCTGGAATCCAGTTACGTGGAGGAAAGAGTGATGAACAAAGGGGTCAAGACCAGGCTGGAGAAGCCCACAGAAACAGCTGACCTGTACAAGGATCCCAGTCTGATAGGACTGACCCAGACCCCTTGAAAGTGGATGTTAGTTAGGAGGCCTGGGCAATCTATGAGGCCTCTAGTAGTGGACTTATCCCTAGTATACAAATGAACATTGGGAGCCCATTCCACATAGAGGGATACTCCCTCAGCCTAGACACATGGGGGAAGGCCTGGGCCCTGCTCCAAATGATATGACAGACTTTAAAGACTCCCCATGGAAGGACTCACCCTCCCTGGGGAGCAGAGAGGGACTGGATGGGGGCTAGGGGAAACAGGGGAGGAGGAGAGGGATCTGGGATTGACATGTAAAACAAGCTTGTTTCAAATTTAAATTTAAAAAGAAAAGAGCAGAAACATTTGCCATACAGTTGTGTTCTTGGCATTTTCCCCATGAAATCAGTCACTGTGACCAAGGGGTGTCTATGTCCAGCAGGGACAGTAGCATCAATCAGGTTGCCTTAGCCAAGGATGGAAAGGAAGATCTAGGACCCCGAGTTCTCACTCTACCCCAGAACTGGTTACTGCTAATCTTCAGTTCCTTTCTGCTCTTTAAGGATTTCTCTTACTATAAATTAGTCTCCAGGCTGAGACAGGAGGATGAAAAATTTAAGAGCATTCTAGGGCACTTAAGAAAACCCTGTCTCGCTGGAGGTGCACAGCTTTAGTCCAACACTTGGGAATCAGAGGCAGGTGGATCTCTGTGAGTCCATAGCTAGCTTGGTCTACAAAGTAAGTTCCAGGACAACCAGAACTGCAGAACTGCTAGAAACAGAAACACTGTCTCAAAAACAACAACAACAAAACAAAACCCAAAAAACAAAACAAAACCACCACCAACAACAACAACAAAAACTCAACCTTTATCTCCAAAAATGACAAAGCACCAAAGGCTAGGGGTGTAACTCATTGAAAATACACAAGGCCCTGAGTTCTATGCCCAGTACCGAAGTAACAAAAAAGAAAAATTTACAAGAGTAGAATAACTAATATCACTAAGGCTGATAGTAGTTACTAGTGATTAATTTTTTTAATCAGTGCATACATACTTCATTCCCACTTCACTAAATAAAGGCTTTTTATCAGAGAAGTGAGCTATTTTTAAATGTCTTTTAATGGTGATTGGAGTAATCACAGATGTTTTTCTTTTAATCTATCAATATTTTAAATTATGTTGTTCTTATATGTATATTAATGTGTGTGTTGTGTGTGTGTGCACATGTGTGTGTATGTGTATGTGTACACATGCATGTGTGTGTGTATTTGTGTGTGTGTGTGTGTGTGTGTGTGTGTTTTGTGAAGACTTGGTTCTAAGACTTGTGGGCTATTGATGTGGGAGATAGAGTGATGATGAAAGGAGCCACTAGGGAGTCACCGTGAGATTTATGGTTGAGGAAGGAAGGAAAAAACAGGATTGGATAAAGACAAGTTAGACTGAGACATGGTCACAACAAATGTTGACTCCACATGGCATTCTACAATTTGCATAGACCTTGAGATTGAAGAAGAGGCGACTGGACTTTTAAATCTATCAGCTGGTTATTGGATGCAAACTTCTGGAGAAAATGCTTAACTTAGAGGCATCTCTCTTTAGCAGAAGCCAACCTCTGGGCAAAGGTGGTAGCCAGATAGTGGGGACTGCCAGCTGCTCAGCTGGAGGGAAAGACTGTTCCTGGGCTGTTCCTATAGGTTGGGCATGCTGATATAATTTCTCTTTTTCTACCCTTTGAGCCTGTCTCAGCATAGCTTTAAAGAGGTCCCCAACAAGCACAGACATGTCCAACTCTAGGGAGATTGAGGCAGGAAGTATCATGTGATTAAGGCCAGCCTAGGCAACTTAGTAAGTCCCTGTCTCAAAATAAAAACTAAAAAGGGGTCTGAGAATATAGTACAGTGGCATAATTCTTACTTAACATGTGTGAGGCCCTAGGTTCAGTCCTCACTAGAGAGGGTGGGAAGTGCCTCAAGAAAGTGTCTTCTTGGCCGACCCTTTGTGCTCTTGCCCTTGTAACCCCAAACTCAGAAGGAACACTGTCCCTGTGTCCTATGCTGTCTAGCCATGTGACCATAGACAAGACAGAAGTGCGAAAGAAGGAACAGACCATGGAATGAGCAGGGCTTACTGCACTACTGAATTCATAATAGCTCATTTTATTCCTGCGGTTTAAAGCAATTCTGGGAAATGATTCAGACCACAGACATATTAAGACATTATTGACAACTGTTTTGTGGTTTCTTGCACAACCCTTGTTTGTGAAGAATTTCTGCTTAACCATGCATTCTGCAATGATGGCAACGTCCCCAGGGCTCATGAGGCTATTGTGTTTTGCAGTGTGGCTGGAGTGATAGGGAGGCTGTGCTGTATTTTAGTTCATATGATTAAATATTGCATTCATGTGGTCTATAGCTACCATTTGAGTAGCAGTAATCATATTTGTTTTCTTCTCCGTTTTATTTTTCTGTTCGGGGATTTAACCCTGGGCCTAGGCAAGTGCTGTAGCATTAAACTATCTCTGGTCCTCTTTTTGCCTCTCATTACATGGTAACGTCTCACTAAGTTGCCCAAGCTAGCCTTGAACTTTCTCTGTAGCTAAAGCAACTTGCCATTTTCCTGCCTCAGCCTTTCCAGATAACTGACATTACACACCTGCATCACCAGGCTTGGTTAAGACATACTTTTTAGCAAGATGATATAGAATACTGCCTGTGGTATGGGAAGAGGTACAGGTAAAGATGTGATAAAAATTGCAAAACAAAAATAACAAATGGATTTAGTATTTTTAAAATCCCAAGCTGTGGTGGAGAGGTGCATTCCTGGCAAGTTTTACAGTGCTTTCTTGTAAGTTTAATTAGACTGCTGTTCTTTGGGGAAGTATCCGAACATACCCTCGAAATGTCCTAACTCTCATAATAAGATCATTTGCTATAAATTGCTTGCATACAGTTCCCCCACCCCGCCCATTATTTCAGATGAAATGCCACAGACTATGGCTGTGTTCTCCAGCAAAGGCGTTTCTGTTGCCTGTGATCAGGGTAGGAGGACACAGAATGAACAGTCATCCCCTTGCGTCTTTCTTTTGACTAAAATTGCTTTGAATCCTGAGATTTTGCACATTGGGACGTAAAGTGTTTTTTTTTTCTATGAACAGATGGGGATAGCTTACTGCTGGCTGTCAAGGTTTCACAGAAGAGATGGGTTGCAAAGCCAAAAAGCCCCCAGAGGCGATTGTGAGAATGCTGTGACATTACAGAGCGGTGGGTATGGCTAGCACAGGAAGCACAAAGGTGTGTCTCTTGTGAGTTTCCCATCTGTGATGCCAAGTATAAGTCACTGTCTCTTCTTGAAGGTCAAGGGTCATGCTGTAAAGACAGTGGCTACTTGGATCAGTGCACGGACCAAGCTTGGGCAGGGTGGCGCCATGTGCTGCTTCAATGAAGCATCCTTACACTCCAGAGACAGTCATCTCCTTCTCACTCAAAACCTCTTTTAAATACATGCCAAGGAGTAGACGAGCACATATTAAGTGACTTTCTTTTTTGTGAATTAGGGGGAGGTGGCTCATCAATTAAGAGCACTTGTTACTCCTGCAGCAAAGCTGGTTCAATTCCCACATGATGGCTCATTAGCATTCATAACTGACTATTCATAACTCCAGTTCCATGAGGCCAGAAAAGGGCATCAGGTCCCCAGAACTGGAGTTATATATGGTTGTGAGCTGCTATGTGGGTGCTAGGAATTGAACCCCGTCCTTCACAAGAGCCCTGGTTCAGGAACGCAGAAATGCCATCTCACTTCCAGACATCTCAACTGTAGTCTTTTCTGACTGTTCTACCCTGGAGGGTTCTTCTGTCTTTTCAGAAAGACTTTCTCACCACAACCTCCTCCCTATGACCACTCATTTCTCCACTAGGCACACCACTGAAGAGACTCTATCATGCTGAACATTATTAAGATTTCTGTGAGCTCCCACTAGCTTGGGTTTCCCTATTATTGGTTTTCCCTATTATTCCCTAGCCCCCTTTGTTCCCAGTCCCCCCTCCCTCTCTTCAACTGAACTCCAGGAGCTCAGCCCAGTGCTTGGCTGTGGTCACTGCATCTGCCTCCATCAGTTACTGGATGTAGGTTCTATGATGACAATTAGGGCGGTCACTAATCTGATTACAGGGAAAGGCCCATTCAGACACCCTGTCCACTATTGCTACGAGTCTTAGCTGAGGTCATCCTTGTGGACTCCTGAGAATTTCCTTAGCACCAGGTTTCTCCCTAACCTCATAATGACTCTTTCTATCAATGAATATGGACTGACAGCTGGGGAGCCTGCACGGAATCGAACTAGACCCTCTGAATGTGGGTGACGGTTATGTGGCTTGATCTGATGGAGGAGGTACCAGGGCCTATCCCAGGTGCACAAACTGGCTTTTTGGATCCCATTCTCTACTGTGGGTTACCTTGCTCAGCCTTGATAAAGGGGAGAGGGGCCCGACCCTGCCTCAACTTGGTATGCCAGACCTT